TCCCTTCCAACCCTAACCATTCTGTGATGCTTTATCAATATGTACTTGCTTGCAGTTTAAGATGGCTTTTGCTCACTAGAAAAAAAAAATACTGTTTTCCTGTATTCCTCAAACTGCTGAGATCCTATCTTAATTTTTGAATGCAGGAGGTGCTTGTCCTAAATTTTTAAGAAAACCGTTTTCTAGTCCTTCACCTTTGCACCCACGTGGGAGGTAGATGACTAGTATCTGGAAGCTTTCAAATATGTAAACTTGAACTTATGAATTAGTTGTGGGTGAATGTCTTATGTGCAATTTCTTACCTTTTTCATTTGAATTCAGTATGACAATTTTTTTTGTTTTCTAGAAACATACTGCTTTTGCTACCTTTCCCAGTGAAAATGCAGCTGTGAAGGTTTGTACTGAGTTTGTTATTGAATGTTTTAGCAAAACACTTTTCTGAATTGCCAGTTGTGCTTTAAAATGTTTTACATGTCATCTAGTAAGCAGTGTCAGGAAAATGCAGACCAATGTAATATTAGCTCTGTGACAGGAGATGATTGAAGGATTTGATAAAATGAACACTTCTGGAGGATCATAAGAAAGGTGCATTGGAAGGGGCTTGTGGAAGTCTTCTGATCCAACCTGTCACTTAGAGCATGACAAACTTATGTGAGTTGAGACTGATCAGGGCATTGTCTAGGCTGTGTGTGTATTTGTATACTAACTATAAACCAAACATAATTTGTCTCCTGCATAATTGCATATTTGCTGCAAAATTCATACATAGTGATGTACACAATTCAAGATAGCCTTGAATGCCCAACTTTGATAAGAAAAAGAAAATTGCAGTGTTAATGGGGGACATGGATACCAAAAAGCTAACACTACTAGTGCTTTTTAAATATGAAACTGGTAAGAAGCCTGTGTCCTGAGTTTCCCTCTTATACCCTGTTTTTGGTTTTTTTTTTTCTGGTATTGCTTTTATGGTGGTTTTTTTTTTTTTTTTTTTTTTTTAGGCCATGCTGTAAAGTACTACTCAAAAAAGTTACAGACTATGTGAGGTGAACAGTGGTGAATTTAGGTTGATGTCAGTTGCTAGCAGCCTATCAGGATCTGGACTTGCAGAATGCTGAAGCTTCTTAGTGTCACTGTTAAGACTCTTGTTTTTAAAATTGTCAGCTAGTGGACTTAAGCATGTTTGTAGTTCATGAGCAAGAGATTAGTTACTTAAAATCACAGGGATTTACTAGGCTATGTAATAAGTATCAAGGCTGCAGTCTTGCTACTGTGTTCAGATGACCTAAGTCTCTCTAATGGTTCTAGTTAAGGAGGGTCAATTTAGATTAGATATTAGAAAGAAATTCTTTACTGTTAGAGTGGTGAGGCACTGGAACAGGTTGCCCAAAGAGGTTGTGGAGGGAGGCCCCATCCCTGGAAGTGTTTAAGACCAGGTTGGATGAGGCTTTGGGCAACGTGGTCTAGTGGAGGATGTCCCTGCCCACAGCAGGGGGGTTGGAACTAGATGATCTTTAAGGTCTCTTCCAACCCAAACCATTCTATGGTTCTAGTTGTGCAACCTCCTCTCTTCCCTTCCTGCTGGCAGGAAAGGGGCTGGTTGCTAAAAGCAGTGCTGTGAAGGCAGGAACAGTGCAGAACTACCTGCGTCTGTAGTGGCACAGACTTAGCTTAAAGCAGTTGGGACTGCATCCTATGTCTAGTTTGCCAACCAAAGAAAAAACAGTTATGCTTTGAAATAATTCTGATGTTTTTCCTCTTCCCTTTCTTTCTTTTTTCCATTATAATTATTTGAAGGCTTTGTCAAGACTGCATCAGCTGAAACTTTTAGGTCACACCTTAGTTGTTGAATTTGCAAAGGAGCAAGATAGTGTGCAGGTACTTAGCCAGCCTTCTGTCTCAGAGAATTGTAAAAGGTATGTGCATCATAATTTAGTTTCTATGTTTGTGGTCAAGAAAAGGAAATTCTGTATTCATGATGCTTTCGTAATACTGTTAAGTCAAAGGATAAATTGTTAGTTTAGAAGTGTTAACAGGCAGGTTCAGATCTACAGATAAGTGACTGCATTCCTCCTATTATGTTTCATTCAGTATTATCACGTAATAATTCCCATCCTTATTCCTGTAGTTATTAATATCTTTAATCAGCAGATGGCCCTGTTTGTTTTCATTTACAGAGCAATGCTCCAGTCAGTGGCAGTTGACCTCTGAGTTGCACAGGTTCCCTATGTTTAAAAAACTCTTCTACTTTTTTTTGTGTGTGTCAGAATTATAATTTTCTTTTGCTGTTAAATAGTGCGTGCAATGTTTCTAATCTAATCAAGAGTCAGGCAGAACTGACACCTGCTAGCATAACTGTATAAGACTATACTATTATAGCCACTGGCTTCTAGGCTGGAGCTGATTTGCATATATCTATGCAAATTGACGCAGAACAAAACTGTCAGTCTCTATTCAAATAGTTAAAGAATATGTAATATTTTAAAAATAGATGAAAATGTCAATGAATCCTAATACTAGTGTGACCAAGAACTGTGGTAGTTTGGATTTCAATTGTCTGTCAAGTACTTTAAAAAAAAAAAAGTTGCATAGTTAGGCTTTCACTTTTACCTGTGTAATATGTAACTAAGTGATAGAACCTATGTGATAGTGCTTAATTAAGATCAACTCTGGAAGTTTTAAGTTATTTATTCCACTCTCTGAATACGAACAAATCAGTAATTTAATACCTTTGATTTTACACAGTCTCTGAACAGAGAGCAACAAGAAATAATTTTAGTTCTTTTCCTGTGAGTAGATTTAAGTCATAAGTGTTTAAATATAGGGAGGCTTACTTAAATATGCACAAATATTTATTTATGTAGGCCTTAGAAGTCTGGCTACTGTAAGTATCCACATGTATTAATTCTTAAGAATTAATAATGGCTGTAGTAATGCCATTGATAGAAGATGTTAAAAACATTATACTAATCTATTTCTTACCTTTTTAAATATGAGATTAAACATATTTCATACATTATGTAAATTTTGCCCTGTTTTAGTTAATGCTAAATTACTTTTCAGTTCAGAAGAACCAGTGAAAGAAGAGAAGAAAGAACCAAACTGTGTTACAATAGAGAATGGAATTGCACCCAGCCATGGGTTAGTGGGTTTTTTTGTTTTAATTATTTTATTCTGTTACATTTTATTTTTAAAATAAGAGTTATGCACTGTTGAACTAGAGAGAATGTGGTATGCTGCATTTTCTCGTGTTTTATAGTATGCTACTGTTCTACATGCATAGCTGTAGGAATTGTCATAAAGGTGAAATTTTAATTCTTCAAGTTTAGAACCCTCACAGTCGACTAGCAACTGGTGCTTTCAGCTGTGAAGCTCTGGATTGCATAATAGCCTTCTAGCGTGATGCATTGCTTTCTCAGGAAGAGTTTGAAAACTGGGTAGTTTGTCCCAGTGTTAACAGCAGAATACTGTTGACATTTGTTTTTCTGGATATTTCTTGTTCTTTTATCCTGCCATTTACATTTTTGCATACATGAAGAGTAAATTTATTTTTGGGCTAATAAATCCAGTGCTTTGAGCATTGAGTTTAAGTTGCTTGTACAGCATCCTATGCTGTGCTTTTGGTTTTGGACATGTTGATTGTTTCTGTGTGCTTTAGGCTTTCCGTGTGTGTTGGTACTTTCATTGTGCCAAAGCCTATAAGTCTGTCATGCGTTATGGGACTGTTCCCTGACTTTAAAGACAAAATGTAAGTGGTCCAAAACTATTCTAGAGGAAATAATAATTCAGTGATACTTCAGATGTAATGAATAGTTAGACCTCTATTAATCATTAATTGTTATCAGTCATTATGTGGTGATGGTGCTAAGATTCCTTGTTTTTAAATTTTTTTCCTCAGCCTCACCTTTCCCATCAATTCTTGCCTCAAATATTTGTATCCACCACCTTCAAGTACAATTCTAGCAAATATAGCAAATGCCTTGGCAAGCGTGCCCAAATTTTATGTCCAGGTAAGTAAAAAACAGCAAAAAACCCAAAATATAAAAATAAAAGCATCTCCTTTTTTAATTATCCACAGAAATATTTTTTTGTCGCAGTAAATATAAAGTTAGTTTTCCTATGATAGTGTTAACCAATGTTAATTTTTTACTATGTTGAGATAATAAGATTTCGTTGACCAGAAGTAACTGTTGCTTCATTGACACTGAAGACTTAACTGGATATGCTTTTCCTAATTAGATGTGACTTGAGTGCTTGGAGTTTCATTCAGAGAAGATGCTTTACTTTTTTTGATTAGCCTTTTTAGACTGTTACTCATATTTACCATTAGTGTTGGATCTCAAGTGCAGGCTTTCACATTGTTTAATAATCAATGTAGTTGTGTCTACATTAATACTATGCTGATTCACACCTGCCAGAAGTTATCGGCTATGATAACTAGCAAGGAACTATATTTATTCAAAGGAAATCTACTTGTCTTGAATCATTTCAGGTGCTTCATCTTATGAATAAAATGAATCTTCCTCCACCTTTTGGACCAATTACTGCTCGCCCTCCCATGGTAACTTTTTTAATATATGTTTTAAGTACTGTAAAATGGATTCACAATTTTAAATGTTAGCAACATGGTAGGAGATCTAATTTCAAACTTCTAGAAGTTGGAGAAATCTCTAGAGGATAGGAAATACTGCTACATTTTATTGGGTAAGACGTGCGTGTTAGTCTTCTAAAGAAATCTTTATCTATAGTTAGAACAAAGAATATACATGTATGACAGTAGCACTGGAATATTTCAAACTGACTATTAAAAAAAGGGAGGTTATAGTATCATGTTACAGATACAGGAAATAAAGAATATGATTAGCCTGTTGCCTTACAAAGATGTGTTAAGTTCTTTGATCCATGTGTTTCGTTGGAGTTCTGATTAGATTCAGATTGTTAATGAGATTATACAGCACTTCTGGATTTAACTTGAAAGAGGCGGTGTTGAGGGAAACTGGCAGAGGTTTATGGGGAGCTGTTTCTGAAGACAAATAGAAATACTGGGTCTGTGGTCTCAGTTCTCTGTTGCTGTGATAGAGTAGTTTGACTGACTGCCAGTGGAAGATAGAGTGAGGACTTGCATTACTAGTGATAGCTACAGTATTTTAATATAGTGAAGTTGTGCTCCGCTACGCTTTGTGTTTGCCTTAACAGAACACTTCTCATAACAGAAGAGCTAGCTGGTGAAGAAAACTATGAAATAAATCTATCAAATAAATGAATTCACACTGATTTTCTGGCAATAATTTTATTCGTTGCCTGGTATTGAGTCAGGTTAAGCACCATGAATTTAATGGTCATGCAAAAAGAGTAGTAAGGTGAGAAACCATTCCTTGAAATTCCTGGAGCAGTTTCTAAAGGCCACAGTATTTCTAATGCCAGAAGACATCAGGGCCTTATAGAAGTGATGGTACATAAAAGTAGCTGTTAAGTGTAGTAAGATTGCTGAAAGTGGGGCTGGAGATATTCTGTACATAGGGAATTCCTTATATAAGGTTTTTGCAGTCTCAATTAAAAATCTAATTCATTTCATGAAATCCTCACTCCTGAAAGAAATACAACTTTGATAGGTGATGGAAGATCCAGTGTAGAAATGGAGATGGTGTGGGAGCTTAGGCCTCCTCCTATATGGTTTGACCACATTCCCCTCAGGAAAGTCCTTAAAGCTGAGTGCAAAGTAAAAACCCAGGGCCGTGGCTGCAATTTTTTTAACTCCTCAAATTAAAAGAATGAAAACATTCACTGTTATACTTCAGAAAGCAGCAATTTTTTTCTTGTGGAAGGTTTTCATTAGTAACATAGTTTAGCAAAATAGCATATAGATCCCTATAAACACACTTTAAAAAAACCCTTCTTGTCACTTCTAATTAATTGTTTTGACTGTTTTTATTATGTAAGGAAAACAAGATAGTCATTTTTTTCTTAAAATGTTTATTTACTTTTTTAACTTTTTCCCCATAATTAGTATGAAGAGTATTTACCAGTGCCTGCGCCACCTCCCCCAGTCCCACCTCTGCCTCCTGAAGAGCCTCCTTTGCCTGAAGAGGAAGAAGAGCAACTATCTAGTGGAGATGAATCAGAATATGAAAGTGATAATGAAGAGGAGAAGGAGAGGTAAGCATTTTACAGTCATTCGTAAGTTTTTGGCCTCTTTTAAAATGACATTTTTACTTTTATAGCTTCTGGTTCAGCAAATGGTGATATCAATTAACATTGGCAGCATATAGATAATCTTTCCAGATGCTTCAGGAAGCTCCAGGGTCACTTAAACGGGACAGTGCTGTTTTGAATCACAGTAAGAGAAGGAAAATGACCAAATGGTATATGAATTATCGTTTGTTTCCATGTCCAAAAACCCAACAAAACAAAAGCTCAGAATGAAGAGAGAGTGCAGATACAAGGAAGCAATAATTAGTTTTTCTGGATTCTTCATTTTTTCCACATTTTTACTGAGTAAACTACTCAGCCTGAATCATACGTGCGCTCTGACTTCCAAAATGTTCTTTGTACATCAGCGTGTGTTGCTCGGAGTAATAATAATGGGAGGTTGTGCATGCTGAGAATTCTCTTGCAGTTTTGGTATTGAATTGCATCATAGCTGTTTTTTCAATCTTTAAAGTAATACTAAATGAAGAAGCAATTTTCTTAATTTGCTATTTAAACTGAAAAGTAAACCAGAAAGTCCCTATGCTATATTCAGAAAAATACATGCATTTAGAAAAAGGCACTCCTGTTGAGTAGATATAATATTATAGATAAAGGTTCAGTTTTGGGTTTCTTGGCATTTCTGCAGCTTCAGTGTCTTAATTAGGTGCATGTTTGGGGGAGGAAGGGGCATCATTGAACTCACTACAATTTTGATTGATCACTTAGCAGCTTGATATACAGAAAGCACTTATGTGTTATAGTTTATTAATGTAGTTTTGGTCATAAAGTAGCTAGATTTATAACCATATTCTGAAAAGTTGTATTTCAAGGGCTTAAAGGAAGGGGGAAGGGCTCTCAAAATCAGTATTTTCAAATAAACTGTAAGCCACTTTGGTTCTTCTTTAAATTTTCTTTAAAATAGAATGACCAAGTTGATGGAATTAGCAACCCTTCAGCCTAAAAGACCAATAAACATAAAGAGGCGTGGTGTTAGAAAAAAGCAAAGAATTAAAGACTTACTGAATGTTCCTGTGTGTACTCCCCACAGGTTTGTATTATTTCTGTGGTTTTTGCACTTTTTCAGAAGATTATTCCTTTTACTAAATGTTCTCTGTATCATGTTTGCTTTAGTGTTACTGTTTTTAAAACAAGCATTCTTCACCGATATGTGAATTTTGGAAACAACAGTTTCATGTCTCAGCCCCAACAGAAGCAATCTGGATTTATTGTTTGGGATCTTCTTTTTTTTAATTAAAAATTTTTGTTTTAAGAAGTGTGATACTGGAAGAATAAAAACTGATTTGGTTTTAAATAATTTTGGTTTCTGAAACTGCGGTAGTATGGTGCGGTAGTATGGTGCAGTAGTATGGCACAATAGACACCAGTCTAGTATTTCTGTGTAGTGATGATCAATTGTGAATGCATTTTTACTAATAGCTGCCTTCTTCCTCCAAGTGATCTGATGTATTTTTTTGAAAATTTGGTGTATTTTATACACTATGCAAGAGAGCAGCAAAGCCAGTTATTTTTTGTATTTAAGTTACCAATAAAGTTTTTCGTAAGTGCCTGTCTGTACTGTAACGTGGTATGTAATTCTTGGGTTTGCTCTTGCTGCCAGCCATACCTACTGCATTTGCAGTGTTTGAATCAATTTGAACTATATTGGGTAAAACTTATGAAATTGAGAACTTATGTATTTGTGGTAAACAGCAGCATAAAATCTATCTGGAAGAAATCTTGTATTTGACTATGCATTCATCGGTATCTGACTCTTAATTAACATGTTGTTGTTTTAAACAGTAATTTGCACCCTACACTATCACCTTCAGATGTCTTTGAGCAGCCACAGCATGTAGGTCATAAAAAAATTGAGTTCCATATTACTACTGACATCCCAGCTGTTTTTCAGATAAACTCGGAAAAAGAAAAAAATGGTAAGAGAGTTTGTACTGCAACTGTACTTAATATTAAATTCTTGTGGTTTCAGTGTGTAGAAGACTGCTAAAATTCAGGCCAGGGATTTCTTTTCTTATTGGAGCTTTCATAACTAGTGTACATCAAGGTTTGTTTAAGAACACCAGCTTGTACCTTGTCTGCATTTGCTGTTTTTCCCATGTTAAAGCACAAAGTTCTGTGCTTTGGTACAGTAAATGATTTAGAGGATTTTAAAGGTCTCTTTCTCTCCTGTGTGATCTGCGTGATCATGGTAAATTGCACTCTCTTTTTAAATGTTAAGGTGTTTTTCGCAAATATGTTAAAATGCGTTCTCAGTATTATACAGTATAATTGAATATATCAGGCTAATTTCAGATTTTCCTTTTCCAGCTCTTAGAGAGCAGCATTCAAGTGATTGCCAACTCCTTCTCTGTGATGCACTGATTGTCTGCTATAAAAATGCTGGGCGATAATAGCAATGAGGCGTGATGGTTTCTTATAGGGTTATGGTCAGTCTGTGTTTCTTGGTACTTTACTGTAATATACAGTTTCTTTGAATGAAAATTAAATAAACCATTGAAATGGATACAGGCTTGAGCAGAGAGGCTAGTTTTACGTTAACTGGCACGCGCCATGGCTTTTATTTGTAGTACAGTTGATTTTATAGGACCATATAGGGCAGGTGTTTTTCAAACCAGGGATTTAGACACATTTATTTAAGGATGTGTTGACATTTCTTTACAAAGTCTACTATATTAAAATGTTACTGGAAGGTGTATACTTTTTGCTTGCTGTTGATCCTTTTGTGGATAAACTACAAATCACTTATGTAATGTGTCGAAATTGCAGACCTTTATGCAACCACAGAAGAAATCAATAATACAGGCTTTGGAAGGATTTTCCCAGCTCCTAGCTCAAATGATAAAATGGAAACTGAAGAGGAGGAGGATGAAATACCATCAGAATTTATTTCTAGAAAGGATCTAGAAAAAAACAGACTTTCTAGAGAAGGTATAACTGAGAATAAATTATCTAATATTAGCTCTTTGATTTGTTGCAACAAATAGTTTAAATAAGTATTTCCTTTATTATATTTCCTTTATAAATTGAGCATATATTAAATTTAATTATTTTATACTGAGAAAAAAATACAAAGTAATTAAATGACCTAAAACATTGTCTGTTTTTCTGTCGTCTTCAAGAAATGGAAAAATTTTCTGTTTTCAAAAACTATGAGCCAGGTGATCCAAACTGCAGGATATATGTGAAGAATTTAGCTAAACAAGTCCAAGAAAAGGTAGGTAAACAAGCAAATTAAATATTTATCAAAAGGGCTTTTTATCAGCTTTCCTCTTATACCTACCCTTTAATTTCAGGATCTCAAGTTCATTTTTGGAAGATATGTTGACTTTCAGTCAGAAGTGGAACGAAATATGTAAGTTAACTTGGTACTTGGTTAAAATTAAACCTTTTGTGTTAACTGCTGTAATACTGGTGAAAATCTCATCTGAAAATCTTCATTTATCCCAAGTACAGAAGTAGAATTATTTTTTTTTTTTATCAGTGATGAAGACCCCACTATCTTACCCTTATTTTTGTAACCAAATTTACTGTTTATTGGCTGAGTGACATAGAATGAACAGCATAGAGAACTGTGTGTATCTGGTCACTTTGCATATGTCATATTTACTACAGTAGCACACCGATTTGCCATTTTGAAGTCTAATGTCACTTTTTACTGAATGGTTGCCCCAGCAAAGTGGTCTCCAGTGACGTAATACTGGCTTGCAGAGTCTGCTTCCATTTCTGCTATTTCTCCAACTTGAAGCATGAGAATTATATTTGTACTGTGAAATATGAAGGTGTGGTTAGACATGAGTAATTCCCAATTCTGAATTTTGCCTCTAGGTTTGATATACGTTTGATGAAAGAAGGCCGTATGAAGGGACAGGCTTTCATTGGACTTCCTAATGAAAAAGCAGCTGCTAAAGCTTTAAAAGAAGCAAATGGATATGTCTTATTTGAAAAACCCATGGTGGTTGTATCTTTTTCTTCAAACATTTACATTATATTCTTTATAATCTATCTGTTTGTCATTCTCAAGTTTTGCTGTCATAGTGTTCCACTTATTTTCTCTTTCCATAGATTTCTAATACCTTAATAAAACTAGGCAGCATAGCATAGTGTAGTATTACTAACATGATAACTGAAAAATATAGAGGCACCTCTTCTGAAATAGGAAGGTAAATGTGCTTTATTTAAGACGATAAAATTGACTTCTCTGATCTTAGCTCTTTGATCCTGCAAACACAATACAAAAGCTTGTATGACTGTTGTATTTAAATTAAGTAGACTTTTTGATGTGGGTAAGTCTGTGTTTGCAGAACTAAGAAAAAGAATTGTTCCTGTCAGGGTCAGTGGTCTTGATTTCAACTGCTGCTCTGGCTAGAACTGTCATTACTTTTTGGGCCTGTGGAACATGTTGGGTTTTCAACAGTTTTCGATTGCATTGCCCTGGTTTTTGTCTGTATATTTTAAATCTCTTCCTGTCCTTTCTTACTTTTCACTAAAATGTTTCATAGTTCATTTCCTTTTCTTTGTACTCTTATTCACCCTAACCTCTGTTCCTTTTAGCTTTTTTTCCTCCCAAATACCTACTGAGACATCAAAGTTATGGAATAAACACGCTGGGATGGAGGATGGTAAATATCAAGCATTTATCCTGCTGTAGTTATTCTATTTGCACCTAACTCATTCCCGGTTAGTCATCCTTACTTATTTAGTATTGTAAACTCTTGAACAGGCTCTCTTAATATTTCATACTGCAGATCAGTGAGGTCCTAATCTTTGATTAATAGATACTATTGTAATATTTAATACTGTAGTAGAATTGATGCACAGATAAAGGCCACTTCTTAAACGATCTTTTGCTGAGATAAATAATACTTGTTTTGCTTCTTGATTGACTTCTGTTTATCATTGACACTTGTAGTCCTTAACAGAATCTCAGCAATTTGCTCGTTCAGCTAGACCAAAACAGGATGCCAATGAAGGGAAAAGAAAAAAGTAGAACACTGCATAAGGTATGGATTTTCTGCCTGAAAATAAAAATAAAGAAATAGGCAGGAGTTTTTTTTTTCCTTCATTTGTTTTGTTGGGGTTTTTTGTCTTTATCTTTTTAATGGCTGCTTTAGAAATAGTGATGGTGGAGGAGAAATGTTCCATACAATTTTCTTCTTTTTTCTCTCTCTCTCTCTTTTCTCTTTCTCTCTCTCTCTTTTCTCTTTCTCTCTCTCTCTTTTCTCTTTCTCTCTCTCTCTCTTTTCTCTTTCTCTCTCTCTCTCTCTTTTCTCTTTCTCTCTCTCTCTCTCTTTTCTCTTTCTCTCTCTCTCTCTCTTTTCTCTTTCTCTCTCTCTCTTTTCTTATGTGCACTTGTATCAGAAAACCAGAATGCAAGGTATATAGTTGGTGTAAGTTTAAAATGTTACTTCTTACTCTGTTTAGAAACTTGGGGACTGCTATTTCCCTAATCCTGACATCCTAGGGTAGTTGTCAGTTTCTCTAATCCTTAATCTGAAAACCTGGGGAGAGTAATTGTCTGGAATCTGACCACTTACCTTTTAGTAATCTTCTGGGGTTTTGGCTTTGAAAATCCTCACTTCTTTCCTTCTGTCCCCACAATTGTAAAGTGATCCTGGAGAACTGTTTCCAGCAATAAACTCACTTCTGCTAGCTCTGTAAAGGACCTTTGTCTTTGCTAACCTCAGAAAATGAGATCTTGGTACTGTTGCAGGATCCTTTAAACTTGCCTGATTTAAGGAAGGGTGTTGTGTCAGAAAGTGCTATTTAATATAGCATTGATCAAGGCTTCCTTTGTTGTGGAATGCATAGGTCCTGATTTTTGACATTATTGTCTAAACTTGATGGGAAAGTAACTTTTAGCAGAAAGTAATCACTGTTTAACTTTATTTCCTATAACTTAGCTTTACTTCACTACTGCCTAAGTATTTGCTTTATATGGGAGTAACTCAGGCAAATCAGCTCTAATTTAACTGTGAGGGTTTTCATGGCCTGAAAACATTTGAATAGTTAACTGCCTCAAATTAGAATGTGAAGTAAGTGGTGCAAGTATTAGAAGCACTTATTTCTCAATATGAACCTTTGATAGATCAGCTAGCTCAAATTTAAAGGGCATTTAACCTAATTACAGATACCAGTTGGGCATCGCTCTGGTTATGCCTCCACACAAGACCAAACAAACTCAAAGCTTAGACTGAATGCTTCTAAAACATTCTACTTATTCCATGATGTGTTTTTAATCAGGATGTTTCGATCATTGTTACTTTGGGAAAAAACCCTGAACTTTGAAATAAAGGATGTGAACGACTGTTTTTGATTTTTAAAAATTGGTTGGAGACTCAGCAGTATGGTTATTGTGAGGGTAGTATTTCTGTTTAAAAGTTACTTTAATTGTAGGTGTCTTGTTCTGTCAGTTGTCGAAGGATTTTTTTTGTCAGATTATATTAGAGCTTGTTTCCCTCATTTCTGAGATGCTCTTTGGTCTTACTGGTTGCTGTTTTGAGTTATTGATTTGTGGTTTGCAAAAATCTGTGTTTTATTTTATCAAAGATCACTTTTTTTCTCTATTGGTCATGGAAAAGAGACAAAGGAGTCTTGGCTTAAGTATTCTATTAGGATCAGTGATTTATGGGAATATTTCAGTCTTGTTTCTTACTCCTTCCTTTTTAGAAAAAAAAACAACAACCAAACCTTGTATTTATATTATTTTATCCAGTGTCTAATAAAAAAATTACTAAGGTTTCTTTAAACGCAAAAAAAGAAACTTGAAGTATTTTAGCTATTGGAAAGCCTTATAAATGAAGTCTGAACACTTTTATTCTTTTAGGAATTCCGTATCTTTCCAACTAATTTTGTACATTAAATCTACTTCTTACTTCACTAAGCATGCTAAATAATAGTTGAATTACATAAAGAAAATCACGAGGTGCTTATTTGGCTATTAATCATGTTGATGGTCAACTTGGAAGCTTTTTTTAGAGTGAGCAAACACATACTTCTGCAAGATTTATTTGTGCACCTGAAAGTCTACATGAGTTATTTTGGTGTCATTGGTTTAATGTATCATGGGCAGAAGTTCTGCCTTACTTTGTATGTAAAGATCACAGGATGTGCCATAGACTAATAGAGATTTCTAGGGATCCATGAGGTTTAATTAAAAATATTTATTTCACTTCTCAACTAATGATGAAACTGATCCCTATTTCTGCATGACTATGTTTTCCTGTTCCTGCTGGAATATTCTGATGGGTGCTGACTTATGGTGCAAAATTCCATGATACAAATCTGAGTCTGTAAGGAAGAACAGTGTCAGAAGCTCATTTGAAACATAAATATGCATGTAAACAAGTTTATGCGAACATTTGAGAGACTTCAAATTTGATCTGTATCTTGTGTCTCAATGTTGTTTGGTTTTTTAACAACTAAATTGACATAAGTTAAACTTTTTATTATTTTTAAACAGGAAGAAGCTGTGTTAAATTCATGAATGTTATTGCAAATATTTTTATTATTTTTTAGTATTTTCTCTACAGAGGTTTTATCCTTCATAGAGAAAATAATACATGTCATTTATAAAAATACTATGTAACTCCTTGCTGGCTGAAATGTCTGTTTCTTGATGGACTGGCAAAAATTTCAGTTAGTATTTGGGGTGACTATTTTTTCTGTAGCTAAAACACAGCTTTTTGGGAGAAAGGTTATGTAGAAGAAACTGATGTTGAGAGGTCTCCAGCTTCTTCATAGGGAAGAAGTGACTTGAAAACCTGCATTGAATGGAAACATGATTGGGTTTTGGACCTGATGGAAAAAGTGAGTCTGTAAAATGGCAAAGCCTTGAAGGAGAATTAATGAGATGGAAAAATCTGGTGTTGTCCTAGTACTTTAAGTTATCAAAAAAATGTATTTACTTTTGAATATGGAGTTTAGTGTTGCTGGACTCATCAGCCTTCATTAAATCTCATAAGGGGTCAGAACTGTATTTTTTCAGAGGCATATTTGCTTATGATAGGTAGCATAAAGTTATGTGTATGCAATACTGAGAATCAAGTAAAATTAAACCACATTCTGCTGTTCTTCTTTAGAAACATTCCTGCGTAAATACTGCAGTAATACTGTCATGCAGAGTGTATCCTTTCTTGTTGTATCCTTTTTTGTGCAATGTTTCCCATAGCGCTCAACTACATCTAAGTTTTTGTATAGAGTAGGTGTGGGGAGGAGTTTACATGTTTTAGAGATTGAACTAATCTGGTAACTTTAAAAGCAAAGGGCACTTTTTCAGGGGAAAAAAAAAAAAAAAATCAATGTGTTGTCTGTGATGTGTGAATAGACACAATGAAGGTTCCTAGTCTTGAAAGGTGGCCTCCACCTTCCTCAAAGGTCATATAATTTGCTAATTAGTAGTCCAATTCCTTAGCTTGCATGAGCTAGAAGTATTCCATTGATGTGCGTGGAGCTGTGCTGAGCTCACACTGAGGATTTTGTCTTGTTTTTCTTTAAATAAATATAATGCTGCGTTGGTTAAAATATGTTGCAGAGCAATTCTTAATAATATTATAGGGTTGACCAGTATTTTAGATCATTTGATCATTACTGTTGTCCTGGTATATGAGAAACAGTCTGTAGTTGACTTAGTTTGTACATGCCTTACTTTTCTTTTTTTACGTAGAGAAGAAAATATAACAATATCTCACAATGAAGTATTTGGAATTGAACTATTGATCAACCTATTAATCACTACTACCTTTTTGTTGTGTTTTGGCTTTTTGGGGGGTTTTTTAGATTGTTGTCTGCACTGAGGTAGTGTTGTTGCCAGTGACATATTTTTCTTGTGGGTTTCATACTACATTATTGTTTAACTTACCATGATATAAAATTAATACAGCTTGTATCTACTAAGTCAGATTTTTTCAGACATTCAGCACTTTTCTAAATACTAAGCATCTTTCCACTTAGTTGTCAAAAGAAAGCATAACACTACTATTTTCTAATTGTTCTTACTTTTAACATGCCTTTGTGATGTTCCAGGTCCCTTTTGTGTTCCATCTCTTTCAAGTATTATCAAGCTGGGGGAAGAAGCAGTGTAATCATCAGGACTCTTGAACTGTGCGTAGTAGCATTTCTAAAGTATTTAAGGCAGAGTATAAATTTTCTCATCTTAAAGATTCCAGATATCTTTAAACTGTCACGAGACTTACATGTATGTTAGTTTGCTTGTGAAATCTCTAATAAATTATTTCGTTTCTCTTCATTTTGACTTTTGTTGTGGTGTTTGGGAGTGGGAAGGAGGAGGAAGACTTGTTTTCTAAAAAAGTGAACAATCCAATTGTAACCGTGCAGCATGTTCTAGATGATCCAGACTATATATGGACCTCCTTGAGTGTGATGTTTAGCTGTTAGTGTTTCAGGGTAAAATGGTAAGAATCTAAGGATAATCTCATTTTAGTGTAAATATCTTTCTTGTCTTGGAGACTAAGCAGGAGGAACAGTCCACTGGTATGAATTTGTAATGTGAAATCAGGCACTTTTTTCCTTGGGTAATTAACTTTCATTGTTCATCCACATCTTGAAAAGTATCACTAGTGAGTCTGATGTCATTAAAACAAGAGTAGCAGTTAAAACAGTGTTAAACCAGTGTAGGTGTGGTCCTTGCCCTGTTGAACTGTGTTTCATTAAATCAATGCTGTGGAGGTCACATAGTAAGATTTGTTACATACGAGGAAGATCAGCGTAACTTTCTAAAACCACATCAGAAACATTGCAGTGACATTTACTTGGCAAGAGAGTCCAAGGGATTGAAGGTGAAATTTATTCCATAGATATTAATTCATAATTGATGGTGTGGTAACCAGCTGGTGTAAAGACTTTTGTTGTCATTCCAGCTGCAAACAGCCTAAATCACTAGTATTGATGCTGGACCAAAATAAGTGTATCTTTACTGGTTTTTTCCATATGAGCTGGCTTAGCAGATTACTTTAAAATGTTTTTACTGGAATTCTTCTTAGCTCATTTGCTGCGTTCCCATGTGGACTGTGTAGTTGTTCATTAATTTATTTTATCTGTATTTGGAGTAGTAGGCCAGGAAAAATACACTGAGAGAGGAATTTTTGTGAGAACTTCTGAAGGGTTTATGCGCTTAAAGAAAAAAGTGGCTTAAAAAATTTGAGTGTACTGTGGCCGTTCCATTATGAATAAAGCTAAACTGTGTTTTTGGTGCAGTTATATTATTAAGGAATAAATAAAACATACTCCCCACTGTCCTATACTGACAATCTATCAAGGAAACTTCTGCACTCCACTTGAGAGAACTTTTTTTTAAAGTCAGAAGGCAAAACTTTCATTCCCTTTAATCAGCTGTGGTTTTGTATATCCATTTCTGCTGGTTGGGTTTTGTTTTGTGGTTTTGTTTTGTTCTTTTTCTTTCTTTCCCTTGGAATGTTTGTTCTGTTTGATCTGATGTTTCAGGTCAAATGACCTCTATCTTTTTAAAAAGTCATTAGGGCTAGCGGTCAATACAGGCTTACTTCACAATTTTTCTTCATTAGCTAATGACATATAGCCAGCAACATCTCTTATTTAATTAAACTTTTGAATATACTCATATCACTGTAATTTTCAAAGTGAGGCTGACTCAGATACTCTAACGATCCTGAATTTTACTATAGTGCTCTTGTATAAATTGACTCCTTGATATAGAAAGATCTTGTGATAGCAGAAGCTAAATTGGATTTATTTTCTATATATAAATGTGAATTGTGTGCCTGTCAGAATTTTCTTTGAAAGCCAAATTCAGGAGGTCATTCTAATAGGCTTTTAATTCTGAAGAGATGGATTTTTAAAAAGTGTGCATACTTTTCCAGTGTTCTCAGTGTGAGTTTGATGTATAAGGCTGATGTTCAGTTCCAGTCCTTTGAGTATTTTTTCCTCAAAAACTTTGAATTTTAGGGACTTGACTATATGGTAGTGAAAAGAAATTTTGGGTTTGAGAAGGTAAAAATAATAATGTCATCTGCAAAGTGTAGTTAAGGTGCATGCAGAAACAAATGGTTTCTAGCTAAATTATCGTTATGACAAATAGTATCTTGGAAAAGTCACTAAGACGTTTCACATGTTACATAATTTACATCTTTGTTATCCCTTCTCGTCTTTGGAAGTTGACAGCTAAGAGAGGACCTAGCGTCGAACTGGGAATCGCTTTTCCTTTATTATTTTCTAAGACATTTCCAACTGCTTCCAGTTTATTCCTGAAATGTGTCTCCTGACTTGATACAAGACTGAAGAGAACACCTTTGCCACTGTAAATACTTTGGTTTCCTTAAGTAGCTTACGTTGCTACTGTTCCTGTTGTAGGACAAACGCTTGAGTCCTGCAACTCCGACCTGTGTCTTGCTCCACCCTAGCAAGCAGTTTCTGGCATGAGATCCTTTTGTGTCGTATACAGACAAATATTTACTCTAGTTGTGGTTTTGACTGTTCCCAGAGAAAAGAAACATTAGTCTGATAATGACAAACTCCATTTGTTACTTTGTATGGCAAAGCCACTGTAGCAACATTACAGTAGAAAATAAAGCTTAATCCACTGTAGCCCTCAAAAGATGTGGAACCCTTCCTTGTACTACTCTGGTTTTAGTCTGTATATGGATAGAGCCACTTCACAAAGCTTTGTGACTCAATTTATTGCACATAGAAAGGTAACATGCAGTATGTCCTAGCACCCACGTTCAGCTACAACTACAGACCCAAGCTATGAAAATATTGTGTAAAAAGCCAACTAAGTAAACTTTCAAAGCAGTGAAGTCGGATAACAGCCAAGTGATGCTATACTCAAAAGACAAAAATACTTTAAAAAGAATGTATATGCAGAGAGTTTTCCTTTCTCAAATTTCGAGAACAAATATATTCCAGAATGTAATTTTATATTGGATCAGCACAAGCACGTGCAATATAAAGCTTTTAGATAAACCAGTTTATTTTCCCATATAGCAATTTTCGGGAGGCTGAGAGCCTGCAGCTCGCTTCCTCGGCCGGCGGTGCGG